CCTGGCCTGGAATCTAGGGTCATCCTGGTGTTGGGGTAGATGTATTATTTGAGTCCACAGGGGTCACTTTGGAACCTAAGACTACAGGTTTGGACTGGTGTCTGGAGCTGCGGTGGCCTGCCCAGAACCTAGGTCTGTGGGGACTGGCTTAGAGTCTTGCGCAGTGATGGTCCTGTCTGTGGAGACTTGCCAAATACTGGGATCTAATGGGCCAGGTCCATTAGACCTACTGTAGTGAGGGAGTACATCATGGGACCTGGAAAGTGGAAATGCAGGGACTTGCATAGCATTGAGCAAACCTAGGGGCTGTGTCTGAAGATTCCAGACTGATGTTTGAGATCATAGATATTGATCTGGTTCTGAGGTGACCTGAAGACTGGGGCAGTATGGGCTGAGCAGGTTTTGGTCTGGTGTGGAACCTGGAATGGGCCTAGATCCTGTTACTGCAGTGGTCAGGCTGCACCTGCGGGTGCCGGTCTGATCACTAGAGCTTCAGGGACTGGTCTACTGCTGTGGCAGACCCGAAGGTTGGGGCTGTGGGGGCTCCAACACAGTGCTTGGAGCAGCTAGAGCCTGGGGCTTCCGGAGCTTGTCTAGAACTTGAGTCTGTGAGAGTTGATCTAGAAGCACGGTCTGGTGCCTGCAGTTGCAGGCCAAGGGGGCTTGCTCAGCACTGGTTTTCACTGGGGCAGTCTGGTATTGGGGTCTGAGGCAAAGTCTACTGATAATGTAAAACTGTCCTTCCTACATGCTGGACTCTCTAAGTTTCCTTAGCTCTTGTGAAGGTATTTTTGTGTATGGATCAAATTGATATTTCTGCAGGGGAACAAGCACTGAAAAACCTCATTCTGCCATCTTGCTGTTTATCTGGGCCCTATCAGCTTTTTTTAGAGGGAAAATTTCTGCTTAATCTTATTCTTTCGTTCCACGTATGTTAAAAACCTACTATATTCAAAGCATTGTGCTGATCTATGGAGATAAAAAGTGAATGAGTGTACAAGAAATCCAAATAAATTATGTAGATACTCTACCCTAAAACAGAGAGTCATAACTACCCATTACTGTGGACTGAACATAGTTCGTGACCTTTAAAAGTGTACAGAATGTAAAGGGGGAGAAAATAGTAGATTTAGAGTGGAAGAAGCTGGCAAACGCTATTTCAGGCAGTGATCAAGGTCAACATTGTGAGTGAACATCACGTCACTAGTACGTTTTTTAATATAATGTGCTGTAAGTGACACTTGACAGACTTTCTCCCTGAAATCCACAACTCCAGTCTCATGAGAAAACATTAGACATATTCCACTAGAGGTGCATCCTACCATATGTCTGACAGTACTTCTCAGAGCAGTGATGATCATCAAAAAGAAGGGAAATTGAGCTAGATCAGATGGCACATCTTGGGAGAGTGAGGTAGTAAGATCATAAGTTCAATGCCAGCCTGGACTACATAGTGAGCTACAGGCCAACCTGGGCTAAATAACAATATCTTGTTTTAAAAAAACCCAAATCAACCAATCAACCAATGAACCAAACAAACAACAAACAATGATAATTTGAGACTGTCATGGTCAAGAATACCCTAAGGAGACATGACCATCAAATATAATTTGGCATCTTGTCTGGGATCCTGAAACAGAAAAAGCAGTGTTATTTAAAAACTGGAGAAATATGATAAACTATGGACCTAAGTTAATAATACCACATAAATAGCAATTCACTAATTGTAAGAAATGTACTATAGTAATAAGACATGCTAATAACAATGGAAATTATGTAAATGTGTGTGAGAGGAGGGTATATTGGAATTGCCCATATAGGTTAAGTATCCCTTATTTAAAATGCTGGGACCAGAAGTGTTTTTTATTAATTTTTTTCAGATTTAAAAATATCTGCATATACACAATGAGATTTCCTGAGGATGAGACTCAAATTTAAGTATGAAATTCATTTGTTCCGTATGTACTTCACATACATAGCCTGAAAGTATTTTTTTTTCTTTTGGTGTTTTGAGAAGAGTCTGAATTTGTAGCCCAGGCTTGCCTTGAACTTGTAATCCTCTTGCCTCAGCCTCTGGAGTGCTGGGATTACGGGTGTTCACCATATGTGGGGCTCTGAAGATAATTTCATGAGCTATTTTAGTGTGTCTGTGTTTTGTCTGCAACTTGTCACATGAGGTCAGGTGTGGAAGTTTCCACTCTGGCATCATGTTGGAGCTCAAAAAGTTTCAGGTTTTGTAGCATTTCAGATTTTCAGGTTAGGTATGCTTAACCTTGATTTCTCTGTATATCTAAAGCTTTTATAAAAACATAAAACCTATTAAACATACTACAAAAATATAAATGAATTAGCCCTGTTTTCCTAGAGCTCACTTGAGGAAAAATGAAACTAAAAGTATTCCTGATACAGCCTCATAAATGCTGTAATATAGGCTTGAACAGAGAGCATGGATATCCCATCAGGACATTTCTGCCTAACCATAATTTAAAATATATGAATCTTCAGAAGCAGCCAGCAATTAATTACTTGCTCAAAGTTGGCATTCTAATGTATCAGAGAATGATAAAGAAGACAGTTCTGTATTATAAAATGACTTAGGTGTGGAAACATAAATAATTATGAAAAGTGAAGGCCAGTTATTTCCTACACTATCTTCCTAAAAGGTAAGAGCAAATTTCAGTTTGACTTCTCTTATACAATCTTTATTACACAAACATGTTTGATATGACCAGTGAAGTCCCAGGAATTCACACTTATGGGCTTCAATCACACTTTTCTCCAATCACAAGTTTTTCTTGAGAGACAATAGTGGGAGAATTGTTTCCCACAGAGTAAATGGAAGACAAACAAAATAATTACAATTTAAAAGGCTAGTTGCTTGATGGTTGAAAAGCAAATGGTGGAAATGTCACTAGATATTTATACTGGACATTTCTAAAATATTTCAGTCAATACCATTAATTTCACCACTGAGTGCCCCTTATTAAGATTCATCATGCTAATTAACAGAATCCCCAGGGGACAGAAAGTTAAGCTAGCTGAAGCTTTAGCTAGCACCAACAGCCTTAGGAGAGTGACTTTTTTAAATTTAAAGATAGCTGACCACTTCTGGAGTATGAATTCCTGACTAGGGCAAAGTGAGGGCTAGATTTAGACATCACATGCTTTCATCCTACTATATACGCTGAATTATTTTAAATTAAATTACAGATAGCATATGGTTCCTTTTCTCCAGTTATCCTGGCATTATGACATTGGTGATTTTTTTTGTGGGGGGCAATATTAAGGGTTGAACTCAGTTGAACTCTGAGCCTCCAACATGAGCCACTGTGCTAGTGTCTTTTGTGTGTGTGTTGGTTGTTGTTGCGATAGGGTTTGATTTTATGCTAGGGTCGCCCTTGACTGTGACGATCCTTCTCTTTGTGCTTCCTGCCATAGCTGGATGACAGACACTTCCCACCACACCCATCTTTTTTCCATTGAGAGGGTCTCACTGGCCTGGAACCAGGATCTTTGCCACCTTATCTCAGATGCTAGTATAGCTGGGATGACAGGGTGAACCACCATGCCCAGTCATTGGTTGAAATGGGATCTCACAAACTTTTGCCTAGGCCAGCCTCAAATCCAGAGCCTTCCAAGTAGCTAAGGTTACAGCTGTGAGCCGTCAACGCCTGGCTGGTGGTCTGGTTTTAATTTGAATCCTGCCACAGGGAGACTTTGTCGAGTCATGTGGGCAACATGATTTCCTCCTACGAAAAAGAGGACATTGGGTTGGGTCACTTGTTCTTTCTATCTGTATTATCTGTGAGCTAGCTGTATTTCCGTGGACACAGAGGAAAACCATAAATGTACACACAGAGACACTAGCTTTAGTTTGCTTGAGGGTCAGACTATATGCTCCATAAATATTGGCCTCTTTGAGTGAGCAGCTGTTAGCGTTAGACAAGTATGGTTAGGATTACGCTGTCATAAAATTTTCAGCGTTGTACATTTTATGAAGGAATCTATAGATGTTAGTAATCCTACTATAGACTTAGGTTATAGCAGTAAAAATTTAAAAAAATCCGTATGGCAAAAATGCTAACCACTGAAGGGGACACCAAGTCAATTCTGCCTCCCTTCTGTCAAGGTAGGTTTCAGAGAGATGGTGCTCTCTGTTCCGCCTTAAAACGCGGCAAACCTAAATCGGATTTCTAACAGCAGTCACCCTATTTCCTCAATTTCCCATTTGGTCTTTTAAAATACCCAAAATGTAGCATTTCCTTTTACATTCCCCTGAAGGATTTTTGAAGCTCCAAGCCTAGGAGGACGTCCCCGTAGCGCCGCACAAAGCTCCCTCATCCCCGTCTCCTAACCAAGTGTAGAGCTGGGCATTGTGGCGCGGCTGGGCGCGCACCTGAGCAGCCCGGGCTTCGGCAGCCTGGGCGGCCGCCGAGGGCGAGACCGCAGCCCGGCTCCTCCCCGCAGTCCTGGGTGGCGGTCGCGGGCTGCTCAGCGGCCCCGCAGAAGGAGCGTGAGCGCCGGCCTCCTGCCAGCATCTGGCGCTTGGCGTGGGCATGTGTCGCTTCAGAAACCCAAGTCGGCTTAGGCTACCCGGTCCTTCCCCGCGCACCCTGGGTCCAGCCCCAAGCTCCCCCTCCTTTCCTCAGGCGGCTGTCGCTGCTCTCCGGGCCCCGCGCGCCCTTCCCCGCGCCTCGGCCACGCACCCAGGTGCCCCTCAGTCCTCGGCCCCAGCGGCCCTGCCGGTCAGCAGCGCTCGGCCGCGCTCTCGCCGCGGGCCCGGCCTCCTTGGCCCGCCCGGCCCCGCCCAGCCTCCGCCGCGCTGGGGCTCCGGGCCGGGCCTCCCGGTCTCCCTCCCACCTCGGTCCCTCACTCCCCTCCCCAAGAAGCGCTATTTTTAGCAAATCCTCCGCGCGCCGCCGCCCGCTCAGCTCGCAGCTTGCAGCCGTCCGCGGCCGCGCTCCCGAGCTCCCCCCGCACGGCGGCGGTGGTGGCGGTAGCGGTGGCGGTGGCGGCGGCGCGTCCCGCACCCCGCGCAGCGCGCATCGAGCCGCCGTCTCCTGCTCTGGCGCCGGCCGCGCCCGGTGAGTCCCGGCTGGAGGAGCAGTGGGGGTCCCCGAGTCAACTTTCAACCCCCCTTTTTGCTTCCCGCTTCGCCATTCTCGTCTCCTTTTGGAAAGATGGCTGTTTGGAGAAGGGGGAGAAGTTAGGGGGTCGCCAGCGCGGGGCGAAGGAGGGCGCGACAGCCGCAGCAGGAGCGGGCGGAGGTGAGTGGTACCACAGCTGGGAGCGTCCTCGGCTCCTGCGCGGGGACACCTCTGGGAATTGGGGGCCACGGGTCCTCCGGCTGCGGCGCTCTGTTCCCAGCCCGGGTCCCCGGAACAGCAGCATCACAGTCGGGACTCCGATGCCACTTGCCTTGCATCTCGCAGCCCAGAGGTTGGAGGGTTTAAGGTACCTTGGTCAGAAGTTGGCTGCTGGGTGATGTTTTGGTGAAGACCCTGGCATTTGGCTGGGTCAGCAGAGGCGAGGGGTCGGTAGCGCGATTGTCCACCCCCCACCCAATATACACCCGATTCTTGTTGGACCCGAGCTATGAATGAAAAGTTTGCACTGCCAACATGTTGCTTGAGGGGAGCAATACTTAGTGGGGGCACCTTTGATGTTTCATGGGGCACTTCAGTTCCATGTCTATAGGTCAGAATACTGGGTTTTAAGAAAAGTTCAGGAGGTCCCAGGGTGGGAGATAGAGCAGTGCCATGGCCAGTGGAGGAGAGTGATGAGTCGTGAGCTTGTTAAGGTAAATGGGTTAATTAATCGCCACCGGAGGGTGTCACAGTGGGGACCAGCAGGGGCGGAGGACAGGGGGCGTTCCCTGAGCATCTATCCCTTAGCATTTGTTTGGCTTGGAGGCGGTCCCCCACTAATCCGCACTGATAAGTGCTGGTGTCAGAGGCCTGTGTGTGACACAGTAGGACCCAGCTGTCCTCCAGATCCCAGGCGCTCTTGTCGGGAGAGGTGGCCTGTGGCGGGAGCTGAGGATATGGTTCATGTGATGTGGACTTGGAACATTCTCTAGTGAGTCTCCCATGCTCTCATTTCAGGATCATGAGGAAGGTGTATGTAATCCAAAAACAACTTTAGATTAACTATAGCTTTCTGAAATCGTCTAGAAATGGAATGGACACGCACTTATGCCCCACCACATATGAATATTGTGTGTGTGTGGGTAAAACGTGGAAGTGAGGTAAAAAAGGGCTTAAAAAGTTTAACTTCTACCAGGAAAGAAAGCTAAGAGTTAATTTTTTTTCTCCCAAAATGACATAATGAGGTTTATACAAGGAGATACTCTTGGTGTGTTGAGATGTCTCATAAAGAGTAAGATTTAAGAATTTCAAGTATTCAGAACACAATCATATTTTCAAATCTTGCAGGCATTATTGGAGTCTAGGGAGGGAAGGAAAGAAGTACATAGAAAACCTGTATTGCAGAAAAAAAAAACCCCACAACAACTTAAAATCTTTGGAAAGAAAACCTTTTAACATTTGAAAAGGTCTGGATGTGATTTTCTGATGTCCCAGAAATCTTTTTAATCCTGTAATTAGTAACAGCACAGAATAATTTGCAGCTAATAAATGAGGACAATTTAAAAATCATGTTTGGAAAGATATCTTTTGAACCACTCTTTGGTGCTTTGTATGTTTATTATGGAAATTACTGTGGCCAAAATTTGTTGTTTAAAGTATTTGCCTTTTACCATAGATAATTAGTCTTCCTTATCCTTTAAAAACACTGTTTCAGTTTGGACCAATTTAATTACCTAAACATCAAATCACTGATGTGCTTTCTGGAAACCATTCATATTTAAAATGCTTAATACAAATATTGTATTTTTGAAAGAACAAATGATTTAGTTGGTTGTAAAACTTGCTCATAATTTATTCTCATCTATTTTGCTTGAATGGGGCAAGTCTCAGATGAGTAGCATTTTCTGGGAATGTGTCATTTTCTGTGTGAGAAAGCTATTGTTTTCATCTATGCTTCAGTTACAAAACAGGTGCAGGTACAGTGGGAATCCTGGGTCTGACCTTTGATAGGATGCCAGCTAGAAGGGGAGAGAGATGTTCCTTGCTTCGTCTCTCTGTGGATTAATAAGCTTTCCTACACAGTGGCGGTGGCTAGGTGGACAGAGGCTTTGCAAGGGGAAGTGAAGAGTTTTACATAAAGTACCAGTGCATGGATAGGAGACAGACTTTTTTTTTAACCCCAGTCTTCCTGTTCCTCGCCCTCTCTGCAGCTCAGCTGATGGGGCTGGCCTTTATTGGAAAGTCAGACCAGCACTGGCTAGAGTGTTTGGCATACTAACCAGCTATTGTTTAACAATAACAATAGCTCTTCTGAAACTAAAAGGAATTTTATACATGTTTATAGATTCTTATGACTGTTCTGTGGCCAAACTGATTATTGTTATAGTATAGTTGCTTTATGAAGCTATCATCACTATACATAGATAATTATATATATTTGAGCTATGGGTGGACTTCTACTTGATGTTTTAAAGACTTTTAAATCTTAAGGCAAGCTGCCAGATAAAAACCTGCTTAATTAACTATTAATATCTGTATTAAGTCTGTTTTAGGTTATATAACTTTTGTTTCTTTTTATTAGGATAACTTTTTTGAATTTGTTTAACTATTACAACATGCTATATGATAATTTACACCCGCTTAGTGGGGAAGATATAGGTTATTCTTAAATAGAGATATGGAGAAATAGCTAACAAGGAAAGTCATTTGAGAAACATATGGACATCATAAAATCCTTCTGTATGTAGCATCTGTACCTTCTCATTAGTGAAATATTGTAGTTATGGACATTTTTTGTTTTTGCATCCAAATGTGGCTTTTTATTTTTACTTTAATTGATTTCTTTGTTTTAAAATACAGCTCATATTAATGTTTAAGTTGGCTGGGGCTTTTACTGCTTGAAGCCTTTTCCTTTCAATGAAGGCATCATATTTTTCATTGCACACATCCACAGGTATATACAACTGCTTTTGAGACTGTTACTATAACTCTTGATAATTTCTCAAAACATTTGAGAGACAGGTAGGATGACATATTGTTTTCATTTTAGAAGAGAGACAGCAGGTTCACTGATAGACCCACCATGATACACCAGTGATAACATATATGTTTACTGTGGAATTGAGGATAGCATATATATTTCTTGTTTCCTAATCACAAGAACAAGCTGATCTTACGACTCTCTTATGACAATTTCATAAGTTTACAAATTCCTAGATTTTAAAGTGCTCATTGTTATAGATGTACAGATTAGATTTTTAAATCAGTCATAAAGAAGATGGGTCCTCCTATTGCCTGCCAATGAGGTGTACTAGAACTGTAATAGCTAGTTCTAAAACAGGCACACCATTCTGAGGTTCTCCGTTCTTGTAGTCCATACTGAGCCCATTACTCGTCCTGCCTTCCCTGGCCTTGCCTTATCAACCACACTTCCCCTTTACTGATTAAAGAAGCCCTTGAAGTTTATCAGCACAGTTGTAATTTGAGGACAGTCAGCATCACCTGTGAGAAACCTCAGAACATGATTTTTGGGAAGAGAATATTGACAGAGGACAGTAATGGAGTGTCCACCCCAGAGCCAGTCAGTATTGGGCAGGGATCATGTCGCAGGTGTGAGGACCCCCTCTTTTTTGGCTGAACTCATAGTCACTAAGCTGTGTACAAAATGTTTATGGAATGATCTAGTCATTTCTGTCCATGTAGATCTTATATCTTGATAAACAGATTAAAAAAATGAAAACAGACAGCAGCTTGTTTTTCTTTTGACTTCAGCCCATCAAATACCTTCTCTTTCAAATCTCACCAGAAATTTTCAGAATAATTGTCCTCAGGATTTATAGCAGCCAAGGTGATAGACCTCTGGTATTGTATTGTTAGACTCAAAATGGAATATATTATCCAGAATGCAGAAGAAAGCTTTGCAATTTCACAGAAAATAGTAATATGTAATCTTATGTAAGTTCACACATATTTGTTGAAAAGACTTTTAGTGCCAATCACTCTTTACTTTCTTAAGTTAATATATTTCTTACTGTTCCTATCCCTAAGTGTTGTTTTCTAGAACCTCATCTAAATCATTTTCAATGTGAAGTACAACAAAACATAGACTATTCAAGTGTGATTTACTATTTACTGTAATAAATTTAGTTTAGAGCTCAAGAAAAACTATTTTTTGCTGCCACAACAGAGTATATAATACATTGCTGGTAAGATTCAGGAGGGTTGAAGTTGCTGGAAATGGTACTTTCTTCCCATTTCTGTGAAAGCCGTGATAGGAAGGAGATGGGTGAGGACTGATTTAGTTTGGGTGGAATAGCGATGAGTATAATGTGAAAGAAGGGTAAGATTTGGTAGGTTTTCATTTTGCATTGCTGTGTGACATATTACAGTTTAGCAGCTTAATGCAACCCACTTTTATTATCGAAGTGTGATTGCTCAGGAGTCCACACACAGCTCAATTAAGTAAGCACGCCTCTGCTCAGGAGTGTCATCAGGTGTTAGGGCTATAGTCTCATCAGAGGCTCAAATGGGGACAGATCTGCATCCAACCTCATTATATTGTTAGCAGAACTTATCTGCTGTGGTTGTAGGACTGAGGTTGCCTTTTCTTGCTGGCTGTCAGCCAGAGGCAGTGTCAGCACATAGAAGCTGCCTACAGTAACCCTTTCATGGGTGCAGCATGGCATCTTACCTTCTTAATGTTTCTTTTGCTCTAGTAGGATAAAATAGTCTTATACAATGTAATGTATGATAGCACAACATATAACATAACATGGGAGCTACTTTGCCCTTGATATATATATATATATATATATATATATATATATATATAACATATACATAATGATATACAATAGTAAAATCAATGGAGTGACATCCATAACCTTTGCAATATGCTATTGGTTAGAAGCAAATCATATACTTGGCTTGAACTTGAGGGGAGGCAATTGTGTAAGGGCATAACTCATTGGAGGAAAACTTGATATGTACGTACCACATCGACTGACTCATGGAATCTCTGGTTTAGTGAGCAGACCTAGCTTAAATACCACTCAGCCAGAAACAAAGTTCAAAATCACTTTGCAGAACAGAGCCTGTGAGATACTGTTGCTGCTGCTGCCAGCCCACTAACTTCTAATATTCTAAAGTTAAGTCAAAGGTGTGCTCTGTGGCATAAAAGA